AAAAAAAAACAAACCTAAGAAGATTTATATATGTAATAGTGGGACATTAAATTTCAGAAATATAATGAGAACTTTATTAGTTTAAGATAATAACTTTATATTTAAATAACAAAGAGAGTACGCCATTTTTATTATGTTATTGAATATTTTTATCTTTTAGATACTGGTTAATAATATCTTTTGTATTAAAATCATTTTGTTTTACCCAGCTATTTTCAGAATCATCATAACCATACCATTTTACATAGAATATAAATTTATTATTGTCGTCAACCATATGGTCTAATATTTTTTCTACTTGATATACATTTTCATTAGAATTTTTATTCTGTTGGTTTCTTTTCCGTTTTTTTGGAATATCATCTATTTCAATTTCATTATATGTAATATTATTTTCACTATACTTTTCTATATCTTCTATATTTAAGTTTAAAATTTTAGATTGTAATTCTCTCATTTCATTATACTGTTTATTTACTTTTTGTTCATTACTAAAAACTAAATTTATTTTATTTATTTTTGTTGGAAATTCAAATCTGTCACTATACCATAACATATGATGTGGCTTAACTTCTATATTATAATTATCAACAAAGTTATAAATATTCTTTAATAAACAAGCAACTTTGAATTGAAGATTATAGTATTTTTTATCAGTCATTTGTAATGCAGCTTTATTATTATTAAATCTATTAAACTTAGATGCTAATACAGAAAACTGATTTTCAATCTCTGACCTAAAAGACCCAAATTTATCATTATAATTCAATTCATTAATATTTAATTTCTTATTAACTTCTTTTCTTATTGGATAAACAAAGTTATTATGATTAAAATCATACCCAAAATCATTTGCATTTTCAATAAATTTTTCAACAAATAAATTGTAGCCACCATCCATTCCAATACAATCTAATTTATGTATATTTTTATATAATTTCATGTTTAAGAACATTGTTCCATCATTTCCTTTTGCACATTTTTCACTATTTGAAATAAATAATATACTTTTATTTATATCGACTACAATTTGAG